GAGTTGTAGTCAGTCTGTACTTTATCAGCCTTCATTAATCCTTTCAGCACTTGAGTCAGAGACCCTCCGTAAAGCAGCTGCAGTGGAATGAGGCAATAATGAAACTTAAGGATGTGAATTTCAGTATAAAACAAAGACCCGTGTTCAGTCATTATTTGTTACAGAACATGGACACAGTAATGCACCAGTGCTTTAGGCATAATTACAAGGCAGGGTCCATCAGTGACAGTGGGTAATGAGTAGGCTACTGTCAGCCTCAGGACCTCCACTAGTACACAGTGCTGGGTAGAAAAACGCTGTACACAGCTCTCATTATTACCTAGCCCAGGATGTCTGCTGCCCCCACCTCACTGCAGTTTGGTAGTCGTGTCTGCGGTGGAGACGGAGCACTTTCTTTCTTACAGCAGCACCAAGCTTCCCAAAATAAAAGCTCCTATAGGAATTTCTCTTGTGCACTGCTGACCCATGCCCTGTCATTGCAGCTGCAGGGTGGTAATGATGGTGATGCAGAGTGGCTTGTTTGGAGCCATACTGAAGGCTCTCCTTCAGTGGCACTGTCCACAGCATCTCCCATGGGCTTTAAAGTCAAACAACTGCCCTCAATTTCTTGTTCGTGTGTCTTGAAATGGCCAATTAGGGTTTTTCTACCTCCTGTCCCAAGTCTGTCACACTTGATCACTCATTGAAATCAGATCATTCAAATTAAGTGCTTGTTACCGAAATGGTTACACAAGTGGTTTTAGAGCAACAAAGCCTTTTTTTTTTTTTAAATCAAGAAAAAAGAAATCCTATTAACAGACTATAAAGAGCCCATGGTGTGCTCATTTCCAGCCATTTAATGTTTAATCATGGGTACCTCTAGATTAGCTTTGCTCCCATCACAACTCCAAATAGTCTTTCAGAACGTTGAAACCCGAGAGCCGCCTCCTAAAAACACGATGATAGTTCATGAACGCGCACATCTCCTGCTGTCACTGTTTCCCCAGCGAGATGTACCCCAGAATCCTAACATTGTCCCAACCACAGCCACTGGGGGGGCTGCACACAGCCAGGAGAATATGACCATTCAAGGAAATCCATGAACTATTGCCTAAGACTTTACATAGTTTGGGGGGAAAAGAAATTTCTCCCCAGCAAGAGTTTGTGAGATTTGTATAAGCAATGTTGCTTCTGTATAGAAGTAAATTAATAAATGGGTACTTTTTTTTTTTTTTTTTTTAAGCTTTCAGTCACATTTAGGATGATTCATCATTGTAGATAAGTCAAAGTATGCCATGAGCTCTTTAAAGTAGCTACTGTATCCCCAATTGTTTTCACTGAGTAATTCACTGATGGAAATTGCATGGAATAGCAATGCCGTACTCACAAATTGGCACAGTTATTGTTGTAAGGCTCTCTTCATATTCCGCTTTGAGAAATGTGGCTTGCCACAGCTTGTCAGGGCACACCTGCTTTCCCAATGAAGTACTGTATGTTCAAAGGCCAATCACACCCAAAGTGATGCACACATTTCATGTCTGCAACTTTAGTGTGTCGAAATGAAGCTGAATCCCATTTATAGTGCATTTTTCTGACACAAGGGTATACCTGGTGCATGCTGGGAAAGGCATTAACCGCCCCTTTTTCTCCAGAATAATACATGTATCCAGAATACAGTGTTTCAAATAAAGAGCAGGCTTCAACACAGCCCTCCAGAACTAGTCAGCCACCTTTGCTGCAGATGTTTTTCTGCTTCAGGAGGAGAGAGGTTTAGGTTTCAACATTAAAGTCCCTTTAACTTTTTTAACCACTAAATTAGCAGTGATTGAAGTTCAGAAACAAAGTCCATAGGTATGGCGTGGCTGGTCTATGTTTAATTTAAGGGGCTGGTCGATGAGGAAATTGGTTTGTTTGGTATGTACAATGGATGGGGTGGTGATGGGATGGATATATGGTGGTTGTTGGGGACTGGCACTGCTGTGGGTCTGAGTGTCCGGTGTTGGGCTAATGGTATCGGGTCTAAGAAAGGGGGTAGGACTAGATAAGTGTATACTTCTTCCTACTCCCTTTCAAGCATGTACTATTGGAATGTTGTGATGTCTTATGCGTTTTGGTTGAAATGTCTAATCAATTTTGTTTTTCGCAATATCAATTTTCTTAGTTTTACATGCTTGGAAGAAACTTAAATTTAAAAAATAATTTATTAAGAGTTTTGTTTGACTGAGGCATATTAACATCTGTGAACAACCCCTTAGCTGTCGTCACATTTTGATTCCACTCTGACTGTTACATGGAAATAGGTGATGTAAAGGTTTAGAGCGTGTGTTGCACGTCACAATGTGTGCGAGTTCATGTAAACACTGAAAGCAGCCACCTTTTAGGTAGACATGTTCATTGTACAGTTATTATTATTATTATATATATATATATTTTTTTTTATTACAATTCAGAGCTGATTCTTCTAGTCAACCACAGTAATGAAGAATTGGCTGAAGTACTCCAGTGGTCTCCCCCTCTCTGAACCATGATCCAAGACAAAATAATAGGTTTTCCTCAGCTTCGCCTATGTCCCTCCTTAAGTTTGTTGGTGCAGTTTATCAGATTGCAGATCTGAGATCCACCCATGTGTAAAGATTTGATAGCTTAAAGGGAACAGTGATGACTTTTAAGACCGAAGAGGTTTTGGAGAGCTCAGTTTAAGACGTTGCCTGCTGTACCATGGTTATTTAATTCCGCCATCAGAAACTACGGAACAGATGATGATGGTGTGACTGCTCTCATGGTGCACAGTTTTTATTTGTTTTCATAGGTCAAACTCAGTCACAGCTGCATACACCACATCCCAGAGGAGCACTTGTTTTTTTTTTTTTCCCCACTCTTTTTCTTTGCGTTCCTCTTGAGTCTCATAGATCACAGTTGTGATTTTATCCATAAATTCTTCAGCTCTTTGAGAACATTGATCTACTGTATGTTCACTAGCCAGGCACTTTTATAACACAGGTTTGATTTGCAGTAGTGTGGATTTATATGTGCATACTGTGTGGTTTACTAGGTCTTCCTGGAAGAATCCCTAAAGTTTGCTTGTTTCTCAGGTATATGCCCTTGAGATTGGTTCATAGCAGGAGAGGACATGGATACCTCTATTGTTGTGCTCTGGTGATGGATTTTATGAGCCAGCAGTTGGTATGCTGGGTTTATCCTGAGAAGAATCTCAGGGAGACATCCCAGTAATCGTTTCTGGTAAAGTCTTCCTGGCACGCACCACTAATCTGCCCACTCACTAAGGAAAAAGAAGATGAAAATTGGTCACAATTGAGAACAGAGACATTGTTCAAAGAGTTTCTGAATTGGAAGCGGGTGCTGGCATTGGACACAAATCTTGGAGTCCATCAGTGCCACTGTGTCAGCACTGAGCTCCAACTTTAATCTCAGACATGGACTGGTCCAAATAGCTGGGTGGAGACATTTCTCCCTTGGAAGGAGCCTTTGTAACTCTGATGCCAGCGGGAGACAGTTGAGAGAGAGAAAAACTCCGTTTCATTGTGAAAGCTATTCTCTTGAGTTGTCTGTCCACTGTTTGATTTGGTCTTTTTGTGGACTGTACACAGACTTAAAACAAAGTAATAGCTTTGTTCCTTGACTGCGAGTTATAAAACTGTTTGGAGAAATGTTTTGTTAAACCAGGTCACTGTATTATCTGGAATATTGTAGCATTGCATGAGATGCTGATCATGATCAGTCAGTATTCCAGGTGGTCATGGTTAGTTGACAGTGTTGTGATCAAACACTTTTGGGGGTGGGGTCCTGACAGTAAAAGTGTCTGGGTTTAAGTTTTATGTGCTGCCCAGATGTAGTCCAGGTGTGCTGAGTGTGAACATGTTACTGAGGTCACTTTCACTAGTGGTTCACTCATGCTACTTTATTGCATAATTAAAGTCAAATAAATCAACCTTTGCACTTGAAGCTGTAATTGTGTGCTGCTGTCTTTGGTTTCTGCTAATCTACAGCTACAATAAAAATGTCACTGGCACATCTGCTGAGACCTTGGTTCGTGTGCTTCCTCTGTACAGTAGGTGCATAGCACCCTCTTCTGTCAAGTGTTAGTCACTTTAAGACTTCTCTCTCTCAACATCCTTCTTGAATTACACTCTGTACAGTAAGATTTCAGCTTGGCTGAATAGGATTCTTGCTATGTAGAATGTCTGTTTACATGTCATTTTGAGGAACACTGTTTACATTACCATGAAAAATTGAGATTTGTACTGCATCTGGAACCTATTGAAATACATGCTGGTTCGGCCTTTCCCATCAAATCAGCACTAGTCATTGCCAAACATCTGTTGCAACACAGTCTGTCAGCTGATAGAGAGGCTGAAGTACAGCTCTGATTAAATGGTAATCAAAATTTGACAAAAATACTCCTGCAGTTTGTGATTGTTCAAACTGATCAGCAGGGATAGCTGATGGGAATGTTGGGTGTGACTCATGCAATAGAAACTCTCTTTGAAAGATAAGGGCACTAAATACAGTCAAACAGTGACTGTATTATTTATTTAGTGCTTGGAAAGGAAAGAATTCTAGGTTTAAATCAAATGTAATGGAGTAGAAAGAGTGATGTCCAGTATGTGATCTTCCTTTATCTGGTGCTCATTTAAGCTACTTGTATATCTCTCCTGTTTTGATCTTGACTGAATAGATCCTCTATGATGGCATGTTTTATTCCAGGTTGTCATACAGTACTCTCCTCAGATTTAGAGCTTCCTGAGATAATGCCGCTACATTTGTTGAGCGCCTAATATGCTGCTTGTTAGAGCAGTGACCCAGAAACGCTGAATTCTTTCCTCTGCACTGCTTTTGTGACTCTCTTACAGTAACGCTGCCTCATGGTCTAAGCAGTTGCCCATAGTCTCAATAGGTAGGTTTCTCTACCCTGAGCGGCCAAGCTGGTTTTAGCTGCTGCAGGAGGTTTTGACTTTTCATGCTTACTCACTTGCGTTTGCTGTCACCTTCCCCCCCCACAGGAGCTCTCCCAGCCAATCTACAGAAGTAACTCTGTGTCGAGCAGAACCCCGACCCCACCAGGACGCTACTCGCCCCAAAGTCCCGTTGATCGGGATGTACCCATGTCCCCCCGCCGCAGGTAAAACTAGTCACATTGCCTACAGCACTGCATTAAAACACCTTATGTCGGCATAAGTAATTTTCGAACATACTTCAACCACTGATTGACAGGAGGAGGAGGAAGTAAATACCACACTTATACACCATTTGGTTTTGTTTTTTTAATGTAAATATAACCAACCAGAACTATTCCTAGCCAGTGATTGGAAATCTGCATCTGTTGGAAAACACAATTGGAAAGATACAGAAGTACTTATTAGTTTTGACTACAAGCATGATAAAGCATAAGCGACAGGAGTGTACAACACAACCTCAACATTGCACCTGTTGAAGAATGGAGCAGCAGCAGTGTGTGTACAGTAGCCTAGTATGTATGATGTAGCAGATACAAGCCTAAGATATCAGTGTATTAAAAAAAAACAGCTGGTCTGTTTATACCTGGAAGGGAAGTATCACACTCTTGGTATAACTTGGTAAAATTAGTTGAGTTTGTGATGACAAGGTGTTGATTTAATAGTATGGTTGTGTTTGTATAGTCATATTGTACCAAATTGTTGTTATTTTATCAAATGGCAAACTACACTTTACACCTCTATTCTTGTTGAGCATACAGGTGTTGCCCTTTGACTATTTTTTTTTATTCATTTACATTCACTAGTGTTTTTGTCCCAGCAGAAATGAAGATGTTCATTTAGTCTCTTACATAATCCTTTGTGTCCACTCTCTGCTGGAGAGCCTGGTGCCTGTGTTTTCACAGTGCAGGATGGTTGACTTTGGCCCCAGTTTCCCTGGGGTAACACAGCATGACATGTCAGCAAATACAGAAAACCCCCAATTTCCCCAAAAATTTTTTTTTTTTTTTTTTTTTTTGTGCGGAGCCCTCGGTCTGCATAGCAAGCCTCTGACTGCTTCGCCCCAGCCAATCAAACCCAGTGACACCCATTTGCCCACCCCTTCATGTCGCGTGACCAATGAGTTTGAGCCCGAGGGCACACCTTTCAGTCACTCTTGTTTTTTCTGTCTCATCTGGTTTAGGTAGAGGTGGGTGTTCAGTGTCTGCATCTGTGCTAATATTTCTGTTGTAGGGTCTGAACTGCTTTAGCAGTGTTAGAAAGAAAAGGACTGTTACTGGAAAGTATAGTTGAGCTCCTTCCCTATTGGTCTCTCTCTTTCTGAGGTGAGTTATCATTTTGGTCTTTTGTCAGGATGTTCTCTTTTGTTTTCTTGCATGTGGTAGGAATTTAGCCTTGTAAACGTAGCTGTGTTTTGGCTAGATGCATTTTGAGTCCCTGCAGTGACTACATCGGTATTGTTGCTCCACTTTGCCTAGTCTGGTTATGAAAACCTGCAACACATCTGTTTCAGATGCAGACATTGTGTAAATGTGAGAACATTTGAAAGCACAAATCCCAGATGACAAACTAGTTTTCAGATTTTTTTTTCTTTTCTGTTGCAAGTTTGTATATCAGTTTGTTCAGATGCACACTCTTTACTCTCACCCACACTTTGTGCTATTTGTTTTTCTTCTGTTTGACTTTCTGTTTGTTTTGAGATTATACTCAATGTCAGAAGGGTTGGTGAGTGAAAAGAAAACGGGAAATGGATTGCTGAGCACATGGAGAACTTGGAGGGTGGGGTTTAGATGTCTGTTTTCAATTTGAACCATGTTCAGTGATGTAGAGGGAAGGGTCTGAGAATTTGTATGTCACATTTTTGTTGTCTCGTCAGTTTGCTTTCGCCTGCCTCAGACATGCTCATTTAGAGGGGAAACGAATTCCATTTGTCCACCTAGCTGTGCTGGTGTTTATCCTGTGGAAGGTCAAGTTGTGGAGCTAATCCCATCTGACACTGGGTGAGAGGCAATCCCGGACTAGTCACAGGGCTGACAAACGGCCAACTGCTCACACTCATTCACACCTATTGATAACAGAATCAGCAGTTAACCTAACCTGTCTTACCTTGGGAGGAAGCCAGAGTACCTGGAGGAAGACACAGGGAGAACATGCAAACAGAAATGCTACAGTTGGCCAGCAAGTTCAAATCCACAACCCTATTGCTATTAGGTGACAATGATACAATAACCAGTGCACCATAGTGCCCCTCAGGGAACAAACTCCTGCATCTACAAGGCAGACAGGAACAATATACCTGCAAAAAGACTCTCAGATCCATGCACAAAGCTTATGAAACTTCTATATCAACACTTACTGTATGCAGCACAATCACAAAACATTTACATGAGTTACCTAATTGGACTATAATTAGACTAATAGTTTTAATTCTTTCCTCTCTGTGCTCTGACTGACTAGAGTTTGATGTTGACTGTGTCTGAGAGTCAAAGGCAAGAGTCAGAAGTGCTTTTTATGCATAGCCCCCGAAAGGATAGTGATCCCAAACCTAAAATCAAGACTTGGCCCAACAGTTAAATGCTATTGATTGGTCAAGTCAGTCATCTGACCTCAGTCGCACTG